TTTAGTTTTGTGTAAGTATTCTATTTACTCAATTTTGTTTCTTCATGTATTAATTAACTGGAGTGTGAGGCTCTCTTTCATATAGTTCATTTTCTTCCAAATGTGATATTCCTGGGAATCAGCTCATCTTTTTTTGTTGTTTCCTTGCTCACCTATCTGTTGTGACTAGTTCAGTTGACTAAGCTCTCCTCCAGTTACTTGGAGACAGATGGAACCTTATGTTGAGGAAGGAGCCATAGCTCCTTTATTGAGAGAGGAGACTCTTCATTCCCTTGGTGGTATCCATATACCTGGAAAAGCCCTGTCTCTAGTTTTCTGTTCTTTCATAGGTACACACATGTGGCTTCTGCTGCTTGACATAACTGGGTATCAGGGAAAGCAAATCCCACTGTTGTTCTAGGGTCCCCTTCTGCTCAATGTATTCCTTTTCAAAACCTGCATGTACAGCAGCAATTTTGGCATAGCTCCTGCCTTTCACAGATGTTTTCTAATGTCTATGTTTCTAAGCCAAACTGTTTTCAGACCTTTAAGAGATATCCAAAATCTGATGTACTGATGGCATTCTCTTATAATACCGCTCTAGATTTATCGAGAATATATTTTCTATCATTCTTAAGATTTGGCTTGAGTGAAGAAAGTAAATGTATGAGGTCAATCTGCATTTTTTTTCTTTTCACTCAGATGTTGATTTCACTTGTACCCGAGTCCTCCTCGTAATGCACCCGCCTTGCTATCCCTGCCCTGGCACCTGCTTTCACACTGGTAACTGAGACAGAGGCAATGCCTCGTCTAAAGGGCCTACATCAGTCTATATGCCGGTATAGAATAACATGCACAGACACACAAAAACATGACTTTACATAGGGCTCCAGATTCTATAATCAAAAGCAAATAAAAATAACTATTGTACAAAACTCTTAAGTAGGCAAAGATGGTATTAGTTTTAGTATCCATACCTTATCTTCCTGAAAAATAGTTAGCCAATTCTATATTAGGTTCAAAACAAAAACCAGGTAAGATATGTAGTGACCTAGTTTACCTTGGCCCTGTGCTTATGTGTGCTGTAAAAAAAAAGTGCCAGGCGGGCTCAGTGGCTCAGCCTGTAATCCTGCGCCTTTGGGAGGCTGAGGTGAGTGGATTGCCTGATCCCGCGGGTTCGAGACCCACCTGGGCAACTGGGTGAGACCTCATCTCTACAATAAATAAAAAATTAGCCGGGCGTGGTAGCGCGCGCCTGTAATTCCGGCTACTCAGAAGGCTGAGGTGGAAGGATCACCGGAGTCCAGCAGGTTGAGGCTGCGGTGTCCAGGAGCAGCCACTGCGCTCCAGTCTAGGCGACAGAGTGAGACTCCAACTCAAAAAAAAAAAAAAAATTGCTATGTTAACTTTAAGCAAACATAATAAAGTACTTCATGTGTTATATTATTTCGTGATTTTTATTCAGTACCTAGATTAAAAACTAGATATCTTACAATATGTTGAAAGTGAAAAAGGACAAACAAGACATTACCATCAGAGCACTCAGAGCAAATCTATATTGGCTTGTATGGCATCTTATTGTATTTCCTTGCTTACACTGGTAATTGGCAAGTTAGGTTGAGAGCTTTCCGAAATATACCAAGGCATCTTCATCTTCTTTTAGTATTCTATGTATCTGCAAAATGCCTAGTCATGGGAGTTGGTCACTAAAAATTTAATTGATTAGTATTATCATATTTGTGTGCTTATTTTATCAAATGTATGGCTCAAAAATATTATCCAATACTAGACAAATTAGGAAAAACAAAAATAATCAGAACAATTCATAAATCAATGGCTAGATATATAAGCTGTACATTCTATAAATAGAACAGACCTTGACCCTATATTCAAAATCTCCATTGTGGCACCTCTCCCTTTATAACATAAGTTAGATTCATATCTAGAGAGTAAATTAGCCAAAAATGTAAATATTTACCACTTCACAATACTGGATAGGTGATGGTCTATTTCTTTTGACAGAGACTTTTGGACCTTTTAAAATATGTAATTATTCAAAAGGTGCTAAGGCATTCAAATACATGTAGACAAAACTAGTTACTAATAGAGAGGAAGGAAAAGCATACTTAGTGATCTTTTTCTGTGCAACTGACAATAAGAAAACTTTTACTGAAAAGAAAAAAAGTGCTGCAAGCTAATGGCAATTGCATTTATAAATAATTCAACCTCTCTAAATAAAGACATCATGATCCCTTGCGTTATAATTACAGGATCAGAGAATTTTAGGGGAACAGGAAGTTCTATGAACATTCACAATTAGACAGAAAAAAGCCCATAACAAGGCTTTTGTGGTCTGATCTCTAAAAAATGTTAGGACCATTTCCCTTGTGGCCTAGTCATGGGAGATTTTTTTTTTTATTATTCCCTTGACCATTATTGCACTTTCACAACCCTGCTCGGCCTCTTTGCTCTACGTGTAATACTCTTCAGCATTTTTCTGTCTGATGAAAGTCAAAATTCAGTTAAATTCCCTTCGCTTTGGAAAGTCTTTCCCAATTCTAAGAGTAGGATTTGTATCTTGGACATAACATTTGATTCATCATGCTGGTCTTGTGACTACTATGTCATTTCTACATACATATGACGTTCTTCTCTGAATCTGTGGGCCCTATGAGGTAGAACATTCTAGTGTCTAACACAGGACCTAGAATATATTAAACATCCAGTAGTATTTCAATTCTGCCATCCTATTTTTTAAAATTAAATTATCTAATTCTCTCATTCTACTTCAGGAAACCAAAGCCTAAAGAGATAAAGGACAAGTCAATCATCAAGGAACAAACCTATTCTAGAGTTCAGATTACAACTCTCTTGCCCTAATCCATCAGCTCATAAGGGAAAAGGGCTGGCATGGTCGAGTCTAGAGTAACAAATCCACCCTTCTTGGCTATTTTCTTAACTTTTTTCATAAAAGTCTGACTGCTATACTGTACTGCTGGCAAAGTCAGTTTTCCTCAATAACAAAGCCTTCCCAGTTCAGAATATATACATATGTGGCCAATAGGAAAAGTGAGTCAAAGTCCAACATGATAAACAGGGAGGTATGTCAAACTACTATTCAGTCTATGAAAAACCTACTCATACTTCTAACTTTGCCTCCTTAAGTATGGAGAGAAGGCATAGCTCATTTGGAAAATCTGACCAACAGCCATTTCAACACAGTGAGAGGCTTTATCCCCTACTGCTGCTACCACACCAGGAACTTTGTATATGTGATTATTTAATCCCCAGCCAAAAGCTAGTGGACAATGAAATCCCCACAAAATGTTTTCCCCATTGAAATGTCCAAGCATCAGTTTCACAGAAAACATTTTTTAAAAGCTTTTCATGTAATTTTTCCATACCAATTTTTTTCATCCAAGCCTAAAAATGCCCATATTTGAATATTAATAATTATGAGCCCTGTCCACAATTTACATCATTTGACTATGGGATCTTAGGGGAGGAATTGGCAAAAATTTCCAGTTTCATTATGTCTGGTTTTTAACCATCTTTTTCATTTCACAGTTTTGGGTGGCTTTGATTGTGCTGCCATTTTCTGCTATCCATTGCTAATGGATTTTGCCTCAAATGAACAGGCGGCTTTCATATAAACTCTTATGAATTTCCTCAGTGGTTGACTACGAATAGCAAACACAAGGGCATTTTTTTATATTTTGTGAGTTTTGCCTTAAACCAATAGTAAAGGCCATGGTGGTGACAGCTGCATAACAAAGTGAATGTACTTAGTGCAACTGACCTGTGTCCCTAAAAACAATTAAAGTGGTTAATTATATGTCAAACATATATGGTCTCATCACACATAGTAAAGATCAACTTATGGAAGATAATTATTTCAAACCTTAGGTCATGACAAACAGAAAAATCAAATGATGATCTACATTGACAGAACAAATGGGTTTTACTTTCCAGTACCAACAGGCCTCAAAGAGGCTCTCCACCTTGCCACCTTCCTCCATGGAGTGGAGAAGAAAAGGAACTACTGTCAAATAAAATGTAAGCCTTAGAAAATGTTAAACCAGTCACGCTCAGTGGCTCAGTCCATAATCCCAGCACTTTAGGAGCCCAAGGCAAATGGATTGCGAGCCCGCAGGTTTGAGACCAGCCCAAGCAACTTGGCAAGACCTCGTTTCTACAATAAAAATAAATAAATAAATAAATTAGAAGGGCATAGTAACGCATGCCTATAGTTCAGACTGCTTGGAAGGCTGAGGCAGAAAGATCGCCGGAGCCCAGCAGGTCGACACTGGGGTGGCCGTGAGCGTGCCACTGCACTCCAGCCTGGGCAGCAGTGAGACTCCGACCCTCCCCCCCCCAAAAAAGAAAAGAAAAGAAAATGTTAAATCATAGAACATAACCCTTTGAATACTGATTGGATTCTACTGTCATCCACTAGTCATCAGTTCTCAGTCTCAGTTCACAACTCCCAACTTCCACAAAACAGTGAGCAGGAGTGAGAATGTGTTCAAATTCTAGACAACTCTCAGAGTGTAATTCCCTAGAGGGCCATTCTGACAATTTTGAAGACATAAAAAAAAAAAAAGTAAGAAAATAGATCAGGAACCAAAAGCTGGGGACAGACATGGAGATTCCACAGTGAGCAGACTGGCTGTCATTCAATCTCCTAAAGCACATCACGTGGTGAACTTATTTTAGAAAACCCTGGAAAACCGAAATTAGTTGAAACATTGGGCAGAAACTACAAGGTGGCAGAGTTTCACATAGTTTCGAAAGACATGTAACCATCAGGAGGGAGAAGGTCATTTATCAATCCAATTAGCCTTCCGACTCGTTTGACTGCCCCATCCACTGGAGGCACACGGTGCAGAAACCTGGGTGGTGCACCCTAGGGAGAAGTTCCGGAGTCGCTGAAAGGGGAGGAGGTGCATGCAAATCAGCCTGTCTGTGGGGGCCGAAGAGTTGCAGGGGAAGGTACAGAGCCGGGGAAGGAAGGCGCTTACCAGGCCACCTCCACAGGTGCTGAAAGAGGCCAGCGAGCCGGGGTGCCGCAGCACGGCTCCGGTGTAGAAGCAGGCAGCGTCCAGCGGCGCGGGAGGGCGCGGGGCGGATGCTGCCCCCGTGGGGCCGGGGCCGGGACTTGGCCGCTGTTCCACCGCGAAGCGCGGCGCCAGGAAGCGACCGTCTCTCCGGAGCAGCAGGTACAGATCCCGGGAGAAGGCCGGGATCCTCAGCAGCACCTCGTC